CAGGACTTTTTCACATCTTACATCTTACCTTTAACTACATGTCATCATTATTGGAAACTTGTTTTTGTGTTCTTTTAGAATTCAAACTCCATGAGACCAGAAAGTCTGACTTTGTCACTGCTATACCCAGAACAGGTTAAACATAGAGTAGGCATTGAATTATTTGTTGAGTTTATCACATAGTATCATAATTTTATGACAGACTGTCAGAAAGCTCCATGATGGTGAGGACTTTATTGTGTTCCCTGCTCAAGAAATATTTATTGAATCAACGTTCCACTAGTCTGTGTTCTTAGAGGTAAGGGACTATATCTTATTTATTGTGTCCTTGATGCTTGGCATATAGCAGGCACTCAAATATTTGCTCAATAAACAAATCTCACAGATTCCACTGGATCAGGTGACTAACTGGACAGGGGGATGAAGAAGAGGGGAGATGCAAAGATGATTCTAAAATGTACATGTTTCATAATCTTGTTTTGAGAAATTTTTGAGAACCTCCTGATACCTTGAAAGAACTCTAGTATTCATTCTTTTTTAATAATTTGATCTCATTTAACATTAACCTAGTCATGTGTCACTTAACGATGAGAATACATTCTGAGAAACGTGTTGTTAGGCAGTTTCATCTTTGTGAGAACATCACAGAGTGTACTTACACAACCTAGATCGTATTGCCTTCTGCACACCCAGGCGACACGGTATAGCTTATTGCTTCTAGACTGCAAACCTTTACAGCATGTTACTGTATGGAATACTGTAGGCAATTGTAACACAATGGTAAGTATGTTTGTATCTAAACACAGAAAAGGTAATGTGTCATGCTACAACTTTGTAACAGCTGTGACTAGGCAATAGGGATTTTTCAGCTTCCTTGTAATCTGATGGGGCCGCCATCCTGTATGTGATGTGTTGTTAACTGAAATGTCATTATATGGCTCATGACTGTTTTAGGCATTTTTAAAAATAGATTTTTAGTTATTAGAAAGTTAATGGAATGTTTCCTTGTAGTAACATTTTCTGTTCTTTAATGTTAGCGACCTAGTTCATACAACAGAAAGCCTTCGGCAGTCAAAATTATCTGCTGTAAAAGCAGAAAAAGAAAGTGCCAATTTTGAGTTTGTTTTGGAACCCTATAAACTTGAAAATGCAAAATTGAGTAAGGAAAATAATGAATTATACCTGGAGTTAATGAAACTGAGAGAACACTCAGACCAACACATTAAAGGTAAGTGAAAATTTGGTAATTTTTAACATGCAATATCTTTACCCTTTTTGTTTTATATGTTGGAAAGGCTAAAGTCTAATTTTAATACTATTGACCAGAAAATACAGTAGCCCTTCTACTAATAGCTCCCAAAATACCATAGGGTGTGTTGGAGAGTTCCTAGGAAGGAAAATAAATGTTCTTTCTATAGCTATAATAGACGTCATTATATGTGGATTAAATTTTTAGAGTTAACATTGCTATAGAGAGTATTAAATGCTATTACTGGAGGAATGTTCTAAAACAACTTCTGTTTTTCCCTTACCAAAAATAAAAGTAGTAAAGTAAGGTGAAAGCCATATGTCACTCTGATTGTTTAATAGTTGATGTTTGAGCTGGGAGGTAAAATAGGATGATGATTTCAAAGGTACTAAGCAAAGGGTAATTATATGGTTATTTTATTATAAATTCTTATATTCAGTAGAAAGCCTAGTCTAATAGCTGGCATGAATTCATAATCTTTTAGCTTCAGACCCAGTTTACTGTATCAAAAGCCATGTTGTACATTAGGTTGATCGAACAGCAGAAAAACATAATTCTCTTTTGTGCTTAGTGAGTTATTTGTAGTTTTGTTAATAATAGTAGAAAAGGTAATAGACCTCAAACAAAGCATGCATGAAGAATTAGGTGGAACCTTTCAAGTTGATATGACTTTTTATATTTTGTTAAATGAAAAAACTTCATGGATTTCCTGATTTTTAAAAAAAAATTAATAACTTTTTTTTGTAGAGGTAGTCTGGCTATGTTGCCCTGCTTGGTCTTGAGCTCCTGGCCTCAAGCAATCCTCCTGCCCTCAGCCTCCTAAAGTGCTAAGATTACAGGTGTGAGCCACTGTGCCTGGCCTCAAAGACTATTTTAAAGATCAGGAAATCAACCTGGCACATAGTGAGACCCCATCTCTACAGAAAAATGGAAAAATTAACCAGGCATGGTTATGTGCGCCTGTAGTCCTAGCTACTCAGGAGGCTGAGGTGGGAGGATTGCTTGAGCCCAGGAGTTCAAGGTTGCAGTGAGCTATGATGACACCACTGCACTCCAGCCTGGGCAACAGAGTGAGACCCTGTCTCTAAAAAAAATAAAATAGTCTTTGAATCTTTTTCATTTTAAGAGTTGAAAACTACAGTGAAGAAGTGTGCACGTGAAACAGCTGATCTAAAATTTCTGAATAACCAATATGTTCACAAACTCAAACTTTTGGAGAAAGAAAGCAAAGCTAAGAATGAAAAAATTCAACAACTTCAAGAAAAGAATTTGCAAGCTGTAGTACAAACTCCAGGTAAGTCTATTCCTTTACAAAACAAATTATATGCATTTAGTCTTTTAAAGATATTAAAACTATTGACTGAAACAGGACTTTCGATTTTCATTCTTAAACTTTGGAGTTCGGAAAGATTTAACTGGGTGTGGTGGCATGTGCCTATAGTCTTAGCTCCTCAGGAGACTGAAGCAGGAGTATCGCTTGAGCACAGGAGTTCAAGGTTACAGTGAGCTATGATCAAGCCATGGCACTCCAGCCTGGGCAACAGAGCGAGACCTTGTCTCTACAATGAATAAATAGTTAGATAGATAGCTGTATTGGATAGTCACATAAACTTCTTGTTATATTTCTGAAGATCAAGGTAATATTTTATATATGTGCTTAGAAACTTATATATTAATAGTGATAGCTTCTTAGATAAAAGAGGCCTAATTTCAATGCCCAGACTTTTATTTCCCTAATCACTATTTTTAATTCTTTTTCTGTCATTATTATCATTATTATTTTAAGTTATAAAAGTAATCCAGACTCAAAGAATTTGGAAATTGTATACTGTCTTAGTTTATTTCGCCATTTTTAGCACTATACTCAGTAGTTCTTAGAGCAAGAAAAGGGAAATGATGGGCCACATCCAAAGTTGGTGGTTGTTCGGCAGGCATAGGTTGGTGGAAGAATTTCCAATACAAGGTCACTGAAATGTCTGAACCATGGGATCAAGACTGTGGAAGCAAGTGAGGCACAGGAGGCTACTGGAGCGTGAGACTAGGTAGAGACAGGGATTAAAGAGCACGGTGAAGACCAAAAGTAATTGGGTTGAAGTTTACAGTCAAAAGGGAGTTTCAGAGTTGAAGATCAAGAAGCTGGCACAGTTGTGAGTGATGACAAAGCCCAGAGCATAGTCATGTTATTGTGTACCGGAAGCTGAGTGGAAAGGGGACTCTTGAGAGTGCAGGGATTAGAGCTGTGGGGCCTGAGAAGACACAGGACTGAGAAGGAGACGGGCACTGTGAGCCAAGGGCAGGAAAGGCAGAGAATGTGGAAAGATCTCAGAAGTAAGTAGATTAAGATAAAAAAGAGGATAATCAGGTTTCCTGAGGAAAGAATGGGACAGATTCAAGAGAGATTCAAGATTCATAATTAATAGAATTTAGCGACTGAATGTGATAGATTTGGGAAGTGGAAGAATTCCCAGATTTCTGTTTCAAGTGAATCAGTGGGTGGATGATGATACTATTTCTTAAGATAGAGAATTGGAAAGTGGAGCAGGAGTCTACTTTTGGATGTGTTGAGTATGTTATACCCACAGGACCTTCATGTTGAAATTTTTAGTAAGCAGTGGAATATATTAGATCTGTTCTCAGAAGTGTGCGCCCAGATGGAGATTCGAATTTGAGAGTCACTGGAGTATTACGGTAATTGAAGCTATGGAAGTGGTGGGAATTATCTAGTGAGATTATGTAAACTGGGAAGAGAAAAGAACCAAAGCTAGACCGTAGGGAAATTGGTATTTGAGGGACTGGTAGAACAAGAGGGTTTTGAGAGAAACTGAGAAGGCGCAACCAGGGAGGAAAAGTAGGAGGTAAAGGAAGAAGGAAGTGGTTAGCCTTGTGTAGGTGCATCCATGCAAGCAGGCCACTGAAACACTGCTGGCTCAGTTTCTTCATCCTTAAAACTGGAGACAGGAGTATACAAATTTGCTGGAATTCTAACAAAGACAAAATTGTGGATTGTGTTTGTTCTTCATGAGGATTTATTAGTTTTTCAAGTATACTTCTAAACTCGGCCAGATGCTTAAAAAAGTAAATTATCAGTGTTTTTTAGACTGAGACAGTATATATCTATCCATAAAAAAAAGTTTACTACTGCTACTTAATGAAAAATAATTAAGAAAACATTCCCTACCAATTCAGGTTATAGCATCGCTTTATATTACAGATGACATTCCCTTGTGTTCTAATTTTGCTATTTAAAATTTCGGTCATCTGCTCTTTTGACGTTACTTAATAAGCATGTGTTTTTTAAAAGTTGATATATAACAGTTGTATATATTTTGGGTGTACATGTGATATTTTGATAAAAGCATACAGTGTGTAATGATCAAATCAGGGTAATTGGATATCTATCACCTCAAACATTTATCCTTTCCTCGTGTTGGGTACATTACAATTCTTCTCTTGTAGCTATTTTGAAATATACAATAAATCATTGTTAACTGTAATTTCCCTACTGTACTGTCGAATAGTAGAACTTATTTTTTCTATCTGTGTTTTTGTATCCCTTAACCAACTTCTCTTCCCTTCCCTCCCCAGCCTCTGGTAACTGCCAGTCAACTCTCTATCTCCATGAGATCCATTTTTTTAGCTCCCACATATGAATGAGAACATGTGACATTTATCTTTCTCTGCCTGGCTTATTTCACTTAACATGATGACCTGCAGTTCTATCCATGTTGCTGCAAATGACAGGATTTCATTCTTTTTTATGACCGAATAATATCCCACTGTATATATATACCACATTTTCTTGTCCATTCATTGTTGATGGACACTTAGGTTTATTCCATATCTTGGCTACTGTGAATAGTGCTGCAATAAACATGGGAGTGCAGGTATCTCTTCGATATACTAATTTCCTTCCTTTTGGATATACACCCAGCAGTGAGATTGCTGGATCATATGGTAGTTTTACTTTTAGTTTTTTGAGGAACGGCCATACAGTTTTCCATAATGGCTGTACTACTTTACATTCCCACTGACAGTGTAGGAGCATTCCCCTTTCTCCTAAGCATATATATTTTTAGTTCTTACTGCTTTAAGCTCCTTGTTTGACAGTTTTCTACTAGTAATGATTTCTTGACCTCATAATAACGAATACCACAAGGCACACTCAGCTTTTAATCTTGCCAAAGTCTCATCGTCATCTAGTGGAGGAACAAATTAAATCTGGGCACACAGACACATCTTGGAGATATTGCAGGTTTGGTTGCAGACCACTGCAAGAAAACGAATATTGTTATAAAGTGAGTCACACAAATTTTTTGGTTTCCTAGCACATATAAAAGTTATGTTTATGCTATACTATAGTCTGTTAATTGTAAAGTATAATTATGTCTTTAAAAAACAATGTACATATCTTAATTTTAAATTGCTTTATTGGGCCAGGTGTGGTGGCTCATGCCTGTAATCCTAGCACTTTGGGAGGCTGAAGTGGGAGGATCGCTTGAGCCCAGAAGTTTAAACTTGCATTGAGCTATGGTGATGCCACTGCACTGTAGCCTGGGTGACAAGAGTGAGACCCTGTCCCCTCTACACCCCAAAAGGCTTTATTGCTAACAAATACTAACAGTCATCTTTAGCAAGTTGTAATCTTTTTGCTGGTGGAGGATCTTGCCTCAACGTTGATGGTTGCTGACTGATCAGGGTGGTAGTTGCTGAAAGTTGGGGTGGCTGTGGCAATTTCTTAAAGTTAAGACAACAGTGAAGTTTGCTGCATGAATTGACTCTCCCTTTCATGAAAGATTTCTCTGTGGCGTGTGATGCTGTTCGATAGCATTTTACCCACAGTAAAACTTTTTTCAAAATTGGAGTCAATCTTCACCAACTCTGCTGCTGTTTTATCAACTAAGTTTCTGTAATATTCCAAATCCTTTGTTGTCATTCAACAGTGTTCACAGCTTTTCCACCAGGAATACTTTCCATCTCAAGAAACTACTTTCTTTGCTCATCTGTAAGAAGCAACTCCTCATCCATTCAAATTTTATCGTAAGATTGCATCGATTCAGTCATGTCTTCAGGCTCCACTTCTAGTTCTAGTTCTGTTGCATTTTCTACCACATCTGCTGTGACTTCCTTCTCCAATGTCTTAAAATTATCCCTGAGGCTTGGAATCAAATTCTTTCAAACTCCTGTTAATGTTGATATTTTGGCCTCCTCCCATGAATCACAAATGTTCTCAGTGGCATCTAGAATGGTGAATCTTTTCCATAAGGTTTTCAGTTTACTTTGCCCAGATCCATCAGAGGAATCACTGTCTCCGGCAGCTATAGCCTTATGAAATATATTTCTTAAATAATAAGAGTTTAAAGTTGAAATTACTCCTTAATCCATGGGCTGCAGAAAGGATGTTGTGTTAGCAGGCATGAAAATGACATTCATCTCCTTGTACATCTCTATCAGAGCTCTTGGTTGACCAAGTACATGATCAGTGAATAATAATATTCTGAAAGGAATCTTATTTCTGAGCAGTAGGTTTTAATAGTGGGCCTAAAATATTCAGTAAACCATGCTATAAACAGATGTGTGTCATCCAGGCTTTGTTATTCCATTTATAGAGCACAGGCAGAGTAGATTTAGCGTAATTTTTAAGGGCCCTGGGATTTTCAGAATGGCAAATGAGCACTGGCTTCAATTTAAAGTTACCAGCTGCATTAGCCTCTAACAACAGAGTAAGCCTGTCCTTTGAAGCTTTGAAGCCTTGAAGCCAGGCATTGACTTCTCTAGCTATGAAAGTCCTGGATGGCATCTTCTTCCAATAGAAGGCTGTTTCATCTACACTGAAAATCTGTTGTTTAGTGTAGCCATCTTCATCACTGATCATAACTAGGTCTTCTGGATAACTTACTACAGCTTCTCCATCAGCACTTGCTGTTTCACCTTGCACTTTTATGTTATGGGGATGGGTTCTTACCTTAAACCTCATGTACCAAGCTCTGCTAGCTTCCGACCTTTCTTCTGCAGCTTCCTCCCCTCTCTCAGCCTTCATGGAATTAAAGAGTTAGGTCCTTGCTCTGGATTAGGCTTTGGTTTAAGGGAATGTTGTGGCTGGTTTGATCTTCTAACCAGACTAGTAAAACTTTCTCCATATCAGCAATAAGGCTGTTTTGCTTTCTTACCATTTGTGTGTCCACAGTAATAGCACTTTTAATGTCCTTCAAGAACTTTTCCTTTGCAGTCATATCTTGGCTAACTGGTGCAAGAGGCCTGACCTTTGGCCTATTTTGGTTTTTGACATGCCTTTCTTAACCAGCTTAATCATTTCTAACTTTTGATTTCCAGTGAGTGATGTGTTTCATTTGAACACTTAGAAGCCATCGTAGGGTCATTAATTGGCCTAATTTCAGTATTGTTGTGTTTCAGGGAATAGGGAGACCCACGGAAAGGGAGAGAAGCAAGGGAACGGCCAGTAAAGCAATCAGAACACACACAACATGTATCCATTAAGCTCACTGTCTTAGATGGGCCTGGTTCATGGCACCCCAAAATAATTGCAATAGTAACATCAGAGATCACCAATTAAAGATCACCATTACACATATTATAATAATGAAAAAATTTGAACTATTGTGAGAATTGCCAAAATATGACACAGACACGAAATGAGCACATGCTGTTGGAAAAATGGCATGGGTAGACTTGCTTGATGCAGGATTGCCACACACCTTCAGTTTGTAAAAAAAAAAAAAAAAATACAGTATCTGCGAAGCACAATAAAGCATAGTGCAATAAAACGAGGTATGCCTGTATGTGCCAAGTATGCAGACATATAAAACATTTTATAACTGCGTCTTGTTGAGGTTTTCAGGAAAGCATTATTTAGTTAAATATCAGGGTGGGTATTTGCATATGGAGGAGAACATATTTTATCCATATGTAATATGAACTAGAGACATACTTCATAACAAAAAGCCTAACCTGGACTATTTAATTCTTCTAAGACAATGTTTTATCTTGCTTCTTAATTTTTTAAGACACTCGCTGATTTTTTTTTAGGTGGCAAGAAAAGAAGTATCGCTTTTAGGCGCCAGCGTATGCAAATTGATGAGCCAGTCCCTCCCTCTGAAGTCAGTTCGTATCCAGTTCCACAGCCAGATGACCCGTACATTGCAGACCTCCTGCAAGTGGCTGATAACAGGTGCATTAAATAATTGTTGCCTTGACCTGATTGATTACTTGAGTAGCAGAAAGTTTCTTGCTAGGACAGCTTTTGTCTTATTAAGTCTCTAGCATCTAGCAGAGAATTTTGCACAAGTGCTCAATAAATACTTTCTGAATGATAGAGAATATTTTACTTGTTTTGAAACTTTGATTTCAAATAAGTTGTATATTTGAGGTTTCTGTCCATACTTGTTTTAAAATAATTTAGAACCTATTTCAGTAGAGTTGCTTTGACATTTAGTTTCATCTTCAAGTGAGAGTTGTCTTTTTTTTCCAAAAAAAAAAGAGAGACAGGGTCTTGCTCTATTGCCCAGGCTAGAGTTCAGTGGCACGATCATAGCTCACTGCAGCTTTGATCTCCTGGGCTTCAGTGATCCTCCTGCCTCCATTTCCAAGTATCTGGGACTACAGGCCTACACCACCGTGCGTGGCTGAGTTTATCTTTACAGGAACCTTTATTCCTTCAGATTTATGTCAGATGCTAATTGGACATGAATAGATTTGTAACTGGATTTGAAATTCTTTTTTCCTGATTTCTCTAGCTTCATGTTTATATTTCCTTAAAATTGGAATCAAATATAAATTCTATTTAATTGAAACTTCATTAAGCCACCTGGGCAGGGCACTGTATAAATGTTCTGAGGATATAATAAGTTGGTGTTGCTGCTTGTGAGAAGCTTGCAGTCCAGCAGTGGAGTTGAGACAAGAGAAATAACACAAATGCCATTAAGAAAGTGAAAAGGAATTCAAAGGAGTGAGCAAGCACTAGTAACGTTCTCTGTGGTGATAGCTGGGGAAGCATTTCAAACTGTGGAATATACTAGTGGAAATGGTTGATGCAGATAACTGTATTTTGCAGAGAATATAAGGGGATTTTTTCAGTTTATTATCTCAGTATAATACTCTAAAATAAAGAGATTCTGATTAGGTTCTCTTTGCTTA